GTAAAGGCGGCTCTTTACAGGCAACGGGGCTGGCAGTCTCAGAGGACCGTCTGGTGGCGATGGAAGCCAGACCGGAAGCCCCGAATTTGTATTAAACAACTGTATTACATAATTAACCAATGTGAGGATGGATATGAAAATAGATGACAATGTGAAGGGGTATAATATAGAATAGAAGGGGAAAATTGAATTTGATTAAGATTAGAGATGAGGATGAAGGGTAATATTGGTTTTTTTAAAAAATAGATGAGGAATAAATATGGTAAAAAGGAAATATAGAAATTGTAAATTTAATTGAAATGACTAAATACTGTGTTGGAAGAAATATCCTTCTGGGTTCTGCTCCAAATGGGGGAAAAGACACTGGAAACATGGAGACTGTTTGGAAAGATGTTTTAATGGTGGACAGGATCACATGGCTTGATGGGGCCCATTGTGTTAGTTTCTGTTGCTATTGTGTTGCAAATGTCCTTTGACAAAGGATTGACTTTCTGCCTCTGGCCCATTAACAAAGGGTGGGGGACAGGAAGGTGGGAGCTGCTTTGTCTGTAAAATATGCTTCTCCATTTCTCATCCAGGGAAATATAATATTCTGCCTTTTTAATATTTCCCAAAATATTTCATTCTTCTAGGAAAGGGGTGGGTGCTAACCTCCTACAACTGTTTAAATTTGTGGACCGGCCAAATACTCTGTTCAAAGAAAATACGCTGTATGTTTGTATGTGTGTTTCTAATTATTGCTATTTATTGCTATTTGTTCTCTTTTATTCTTTAAAGTTTAACAATTCATTCTTTATCTTAATATCTTTATATTTGTTTGGGGTTGGCTTTCTTCCCATTCATCTTTTTTATTGTACAGCAATCTTTCTCCTCAAACCTACCACCTCTCTCTTTTCTTTCCTTCTTACTTTCTCTTCCCCCCTTCTTCTTCTCCCTACTTCCTCTTCCTTTCTCCTTCCCCTCCTCTCTTCCTCCCTCTCTTACCCTCACTCCTACTCTAATTTCCCTTCCCCTCCTTCATCCCTCTCTATTGCTGTATCCTTTTATGCATATGGACTACTCAGAGGGCTGAAAAAGTTATTTTTGACTGGTCCTCGCATTTTTGACCAGTCCTCGAACTTACGACTGTCCTCACAATTTATGTTTTTGCCCTATCTTGTCACCATGGTGAAGAGAAGCTGTTGTGAAATGAGTGACACGGTTGTTAAGAATGGTACAATGGGCATAAATGATGACCAGTCATAACTGCGAAGACCGGTCAAAAGTGCGAGGACCTGTCAGAAATCACTTTTTTCAGCCCTCTGGGTAGTCCTTTTGTGCACATGGACTACTCAGAGGGCTGAAAAAGTTATTTTTGACTGGTCCTCGCACTTTTGACCAGTCCTCGAATTTACGACTGTCCTCACATTTTACGTTTTTTGCCCTATCTTATACCATGTTGAAGAGAAGCAGTTGTGAAAGAGTGACATGGTTGTTAAGAATGCTGCACAGGCATAAATGTGAGGATGGTCATAAGTGTGAGGACCAGTCAAAAGTGCGAGAACCTGTCAGAAATGACTTTTTTCAGCCCTCTGAGTAGTCCCTATACACATAGCCATGGCCACCTGGTCACATGACCAGCTAGCCATGCCCACCCAGTCACATGACCTCCAAGCCATGCCCACAAAATAAGCCACGCCCACAGAACCGGTATTAAAAAAAATTTAGAACCCATGTTGGGGGTCACCACAACATGAGGAACTGTATTAAAGGGCCGCGACATTAGGAAAGTTGAGAACCACTGCCCTAGATCCTCTCCATTCCCCTTCTCTCCCTCAAGCTGGCCCCATAGTTCTCTCTCCTCCCCTTCTCTCCCTGAGGCTGGCCCCATAGATCTCTCCTCACCTCTCCCTCAGGCTTGCCCCATAGATCCTCTCATATCCCCTTCTCTCGCTCAGGCTGGCCCCATAGATTCTCTCCTCTCCCCTTCTTTTCTTCAGGCTTTTTTTTTTTTTTTAATTTGATTTATATGCCGCCCTTCTCCGGAGACTCAGGGCGGCTTACAATGTGCTCAGCAATAGCCTTCATCCTTTTGTATATTTATACAAAGTCAGCTTATTGCCCCCACAACTGGGTTCTCAATTTACCTACCTTAGAAAGGATGGAAGGCTGAGTCAACCTTGAGCCTTGGCAAGATTCGAACCTGCAGTAATTGCAGGCAGCTGGTTTTAATAACCAGCTTAATAACAGGGTGCCTTAGACCACTGTACTACCAAGGCTGGCCCCATAGATCCTCTCCTATGGCTTAGTGATGATAACCAGGAACTTCTGAAGCAACAAAAAATGGGGAGAGACACTAAGAGCAGTAGGACTTGATTAACCAGGCTTCAGGAAATATTTTTGTTCAATTCACATTCTTTTCTTGTAATCTCTTACGTTCAAATTATAATTTCATCTTGTAAAACTCACATTAAAAGGTACCAAAGCCAAATATCTGTTTACTGTCAATTCATTTTGAAATAGCAACATCATCATCATGAGCATGAACAAAATAAATAGTAGTAATATATAACAATTTCTTTTGCCAAAATGGTCTGTTGCAATTTAATCCTACAGAACAGTACAGAAACTAAAATGCTGTCTACAATTTGTCTTTTTTTTTAAATTTCCAAAATCTAATTCAGTACAAATTGAAATGTAAAAATAATCAATTCAAGGGGGAAAATATACTAATCTTTGAAGCTGAGTCATGTAGCGTAATTCCAATGATATAATAAACTGTGGACAAAGGCAATCAATGAAGGAAAGTCATTATTCAAATGGAAAATAAATATATTAGTCCTGAATTTCTGTTGCGGCAAGTATCAAAAGGTCTGGGTCTTAATTGACTGCTTTTGAAATTCTTTTATCTTCAAGAGCTCAGTGCATTCTACTATATTAGAATATTCTCCTTTGTGACATGTCACCGGGGTCAGGGCTCTCTCCGCTCCTTTTTAATATCTACATGAAACCATTGAGTGAAATAATCCATCTCCATAGGATGAGATATCACCAATACACAAATGATACCCAGTTATATATCTCTATCCCAAGTGAAGTGAGTTTTGCAGTGGACATTGTTTAGCGATTCCCTTCATCAGGACCACTACCTCTTTCAAACATGCTAAGGAGGCAGCGGTGAAATCCACTCACCTTCGCTACCGGTTCGGGAACGGGAGTGCGCGGGAACACACACCTGCTATACATGCACACACCTTTCTGCGCATGCGCATACCTCTTCTGCGCATGTGCAGAGCCTTCTGCGCATGCGCAGATGGTAAAAAACAGGGCGTAATGACATCCCGGCAAGTAGAGCCTCCCAACACCGGCGCTACCGGTTCGACGAGCCGGATAGAACTGAGGGGATTTCACCGCTGTAAGGAGGTTATGGATAGCTTCTCAGATCCAGCTACTGACTTCTCCTGACCATCTAAAGGAGACAAGAGAGACATGTAGTGAGGAAAGAATTAGGATGTGATGAATTTGAGCCACTTTATTTGCAAAACATGCAAATTTACCTCAATGGCACAGCAGCAAATCCCTCCCTGTTTTATATCCTATATTTTTTTGTATTTCTCACCTTAAAATCATAGGAAACTTTTCCAGGAAGTGTGCCTCCTTTGACCATGGGAAATCGGGAACTGTACTTTGCCCTGGCTCTAACATTTATGCCTTTAAAACATGAAAAATTATTTGTACTGTAAATCATAATAGGGCTCAAATAATACTTTAAAGCAAAACAAAATAATTTTACTGTGTTAAAGTACAGCTTTATTGTTTCGAAGATCTAGAATCTAAGACTCAAAATAAGCCTTAGTGAAAATAATAATAATAATTAAAAAACATTTGTTTTCTCCTCCTTTCCTGTGATCTGAAGGATGACTTCACAGAAAGATATCAGACATTACCATATTCACATGACACACTGAGAAGGAAACAAGTGGTGAAAATAAAAAGTTCAGGTTCCCCTTGCAGATATAGTCGTTCTAGACTCTAGGGGGCGGTGCTCATCTCGGTTTCAAACCCGAAGAGCCAGCGCTGTCCGAAGACGTCTCCGTGCTCAGGTGGCCAGCATGACTAAACACGCGCACAGAACGCGTGTTACCTTCCCACCAAAGGTGGTCCCTATTTTCCTACTTGCATTTTTACATGCTTTCGAAGTGCTAGGTTGGCAGAAGCTTGGACAAGTAACTGGAGTTATTATGCGGCACTAGAGATTCGAACCCCTGAACTGCCGACCCTTAGATCGACAAGCTCAGCGTTTTAGCCACTGAGTCACCGCATCCCTTGTGAAAATACACACCACCATTTTTAACTCCACTGAACGTATTTCATCTGAGATTTCCTGCTGTTGAATTGCATTTCAAACTATGGATTCCTTTATTCTGGTTCTATAACTAACAATGAACTTAAGATAAAGCACCTGCTTTAAAAAGATCATGGCCTACCTCACTTAATTTTCAAGTGTGCTCTTTAACAGTATCTCGGAAACAAATACTAGAAATAGACTACTGCAGGCCGGTTTATGGAGGGAGCTGGGAAAACATTTTTTCTAGCCATTCCAATTTTGAGAAGGAGGGGGGTGGAGCAGCGATTGAATCGTTTATAAAACATTTTCTTTTCGTAAAAATAACGTGAAATCTCTTTCAGATTATCTGCCCTGAATCTATTGCAGAAGGTGTACCGTTACTGAAGTACCACATTTAATAAGCCAGCGGGGGGCGGGGGGGGAGATGCAGCTCCGAGGAGAGTCACGAACGATTTTCATTCAGCTATATCCACCTAATTGTTTATTTACATAGCAAACCCAAAGCCTCGTGAAGGAATGCTAGGACGGAGAGCTGGAAGGGTCAAAAGCTTAGGCGAACAAAAGCAAAAGAAAAAGGAATTTATAGACATGCTCCGTAGCGCATACGATAGATTAGGTAACAAAAGACAGAGAACGAGAGGTCGCGCATGCGCCCTCCCGCTCCAGTTGCGCCGCGACAGCCAATCAGGACAAGCAGCGGAGACTTTCGAACAAGCGGGAAGCGAAGCTGTGGAGGGGAGAAGTTGAAAACAGTAGTAAAGAGTTAACGGCCGTAGAGTCCCCGAGAGTTGTCGCGTGCTTGTAACCCTGCAGTGAAGAAAAAGGCTGTTGAGAAAAAGGACAGGAGCCGCGCGCCCAAAGGGATGCAGAGTTGCGTTCGATTTCCTTAAAGTCGCGGGCGGTCCCTCGGGCATGCGGGCAGAGGTTGAGAAGGGCACAGTCGGAAGGGAACGGAGGTAATAGATAAACATCCCGTCCCATTAAGAGCAGGTCTTAAAATAACTGGGCTGTCCTCTAGAATTGCCTCCTTGCTCAGTGATAGTTAAAACTGCTTTGTAAATACTGTTTAATTCAATGGAACTATGCCCATGTGCAATCCCAGGTATACCACTTCAAGTTCCTTTGAATTGAATGGGAGGTGGGTTTCCACCGTAAAATGCGTATATTTTACAGCTTTCTGGTATTTGTACAACTATTTCAACAAATGCAGATCACATTATGCATTTGCATTATGATTTTTTTTGTTGCGTACCTAAATTATTACAGAAGTCATTTGATTAAAGTAATAATGCCTTCTGAGTGAAGTTAAGAACAAGGAAGATTTTTATTCAGTTTTTTGCCTGACAAAATCAAGCTGTCTTAATGTATCAAGAAGGCATTACATTTGATAGTTTCTGTACTTTAAGAAATCTAAACACCTGAGATTTGATTGTTTTCATTCATGTGCACATGTGACTAGTTTTTTCTTCACAAATAGTTATAACATATTCCAATGTCATACCTATTAGTCATCTGTTCTAGTGAGGCTGTTAGAATATATTTGTATTTTATTTTATAATATAATTTATTTGAGGACTTTTATTAATGCTCAGAACCATATTTCATTTTGCTTTCTTTAAGATCTGTTAGCTTTCTTACTTTTTACTGTTCATAGGCCTTGAAAGTTGCTTACCCAGGGAAGTGAAACAAGGTATATATTCCTAGAATAGCTTCACATTTAATAAATATATCTTCAGAAAATTTAGAGGCCCTGGTATGGGACTAATACAGGTAGTCCTTGACTTACGACCACAATTGAGCCCAAATTTTATGTTACTAAGTGAGATAGTTGTTAAGTGAATTTTCCCCATTTTATGATTTTTCTTGCCCCATTTTATGATTTTTCTTGCCCCAATTCACTATAGTTAAGTTAGTAATATGGTTATGTGAATTTTGTGTTCCCTTTTATTTTGTTTGTCAGAAAGTTACAAAAGGTTACAGAAAGTTACAAAAACTAACTTCATAAATATGAGTTAGTTGCTAAGCATCTGAATTTTGATCATGTGGGGATGCTGCAACAGAATTAAGTGTGAAAAACAGTCATAAGTCACTTTTTTCAGTGTTGTTGTAACTGAATTGTCACTAAATGAACTGTTGTAAGTTGTATTGTAAGAGAAGGGCTGATTTATATAAAGTGTGCTGGAAGAAGTGGAGTCTTTGTGACCATCCATCTAATACCTTTCTGTCATCGATCTTAGAATGAAGAACTTAATAGAATCACAGATCTGGAAGGTACCTTGGAGGTCTTCCAATCCAACCCTCTTCTCAAGCAGAAGACCCTATGACATTTCAGACAAATGGCTATCCAATCTCTTCTTAAAAGCCTTTAGTAATGGAGCACCTATAATTTCTGGATGCAAGCCAGTCACTGTTCCCACTGACAGGAAATTTATATCCTTAGTTCTAGATTGATTCTCCTTGATTAGTTTCCATCTCTTGCTTCTTTTCCTCCCTTCAGGTACTTTAAAGAATAGGTTGGACCCCTCTTCTTTGTGGCAGCCCCTCAAATATGAAAGGACTACTACATGTTACCCCAATCCTTCTTTTCACTAGACCAGACCAGACATGCCCAATGCTTGCAACCATTTTTCATGTTTTAGCTCCAGCCCCTGATCATTTTTGTTGCTCTTCTCTGCATTCTTTGTAGAGTCTCAACATCTTTTTTATATTGTGGTGACCAAAACTGGATAAAATATTGAAAGTGTGGTCTTACCACGGCATAATAAAGCAATACCAATACTTTATGTGATCTTGATTCTATCTCTTAATTCAGCCAAGGACTGCATTGGCTTTTTTGATGGATGCTGCACACTGTTGTCTCATTTTTAATTGGTCAGTTATTAGGACTCCTGGATTTCTCTCACAGTTATTGCTGTTTGACCAGGTGCCACCTAGTTTGTACCTGTATGTTTGGTTTTTCTTGCCTAAGTGTAAAACGTTAGTATTATTATCATTGAATTTTATTTTGTTAGCTAGGGGCCAGGGTTGAAGTCTGTCGAGATTCTTTGGATCTTGAGCCTATCTTCTCAGATATTGGCTATTTCTGCCAGATTGGTGTTGTCTGTTAATTTGATGACTTCCCCTTCTATCCCCTCATCTAAATCATTTATGAAGATGTTGAAAAGTACTGGGCCTAAAACAGAACCTTGGGGTATTCCACTGTGTACTTCTTTCCATATAGATATACCGTAGTTTCATTGAGGACTACATGTTGAATGTGATTTGTCAGCCAGTTATGAATTCACCTAATGGTGATACTTCTATTTCACATTTTTGTAACTTATCAAGAAGTAGGTTGTGGTCTACTTTGTCAAATGCCTTATTTAAATCCAAGTATACTATATCCACAGTATTTTGCTGATACGCTAATTTAGTTACTTTGTCAAAGAATACAATAAGATTTGTTTGGCGTGATTCATTTTTGGCAACCTATATTAGCTACTAGTTATAATTTTGCTTGACTCTAGGTGTTCACAGACATGTTGCTTAATTATCTTTTCCAGGATCTTCTCAGGTGTTGATGTCAGGTCTATAGTTTCTTGGATCCATTTTCCAGTCCTCTGGTAGTTCCCCAGTGCTCCAAGATCTTTGAAAAATGGTTCGATGGCTCTGAGATCACGACTGCCATCTCCTTCAGAACTTTGGAATGTAATCCATCTGGTCCTGATGATTTGAAGCCCTCCAATGTGGACAGATGTATTAACATTTTTTTTTTTTTTTGGCCTATTTTAATTTATATTCCTAGCCAACCTTCTAAGATTCTGCTTTTGCTAGATTGGGCTGTTTCTTCATTTTGTGTGAAGATAGATGCAAAGAATGAATTAAGTAGCTCTGCTTTCTCTCTGCTGCCCATCGCTTCCTTGCTAATTTCTCCCATTAGTGAACCATTTCTTTCCTTGACCTTTTTCATTTTTTTTACATGCTGAAAGAAACATTTTTTATTATTTTTGACATTTCTTGCAGGTCTTATTTCATTCTCAGTCTTGGTTTTCCTGACTTCATCTTTGCAGATTCAGACTATATGCTGATATTTTGCCTTAGTTATTTATCCCTCTTTCCATTTTTTTTTACTTTTTGTCTTTCAGTTTATCAGATAATTCTTTGTGCAGCCATGCTGATTTCTTCTTAGATTCCTTATTTTTTCTTTTTCACTGGTATTATGCTGGTCTTAAGTCATATAATTGAACTTAAATTCATGTAATAGCCTGTTTTCTTGATCCCAGCTCAGAAACAAATTTGCTAAGGAATAAAATATTCCAGTAATTTTAGTGAGCCAGCCAAGGCCCTGAGTTTACCTATAGGGTTGAGTCTCAGAATAGTCAAGCTCTGCTGTTATTGGACCATTTGGCCACAGAATTATGTCTTTCTGTTGTCTCATCCTGAAAGGTAGTAAAGAGAATTTTAGTCTTGAGCCAAACAGTTGCATGAATTAAATCATTTTATAGTTTATAGGTACCTATGAAATTCTTTTTATGCCTTGTCATGTGAGTGATAGCTTTTGTTGATAAATTTGTTTATTGATCAAAGCTGTGTGTCAAACTGGATTCCAGGCTCCCTCAAATGTCTGCTAACCCTTGTGGATAATGAATAGAGAACCCTGGATTGCGAAGGGGATCAGGGAGATATATATGATTCAATAGGGCATCAAAAGGTTGTATGACAAAATCATACCTGGGCAGATTAGAGAGTTAAATTGTCAAGGGTCTGAACCAGGGGAATCTGCGCTGGACCAATTAGGAAGTTTCCAGGAGTTCAGATGTACTGCAAGCCTGATATACACATTTTAATAAATTAGGGCAGAATCTTCTTTGAGGAAATATGTATTAGCTTGGGATAAAGGACAATTTTCTATCTAAGCTGGAGTGACAAAAAAAAAGCTATTTCTGGAATAGATGCAAGCAGTAATGTAATCTAGCCAAGTTTGGGTACTTTCTACTATGATAAATTTTTAAAACAAGATTTGCAACATGATCATATCAATCATCTCATATATTGGTATTGTTGGACTAAAGTTTTTGTTTGTTTTAAGCAAAAATATTCTAGATGCTCCTTTATTAGATATCATACTACTTGAAGTCCATACAAGCAACATAATGGCACCTTTATTTAAAAATCCCAATGAATGCCAGTGGATTCAGAAAGGGGAAACTGACACAATACGTATTTTCCTCTCAAGCTCCTGGTTAAAATTAAAAGCAGAGGAGACCTTTTGATTTTATTTATTTTAAATATTCCTTTGCTGATTGATTAGAAATTTTCTTTCCTCAATGGAAGAGAGAAAGTTAAATTTTCAGTATGTTTGCCTGAGAGAGATTTGTTACATAAAACAAATGGACAACTAAGTTTCACACTGACTAGAAATTTGGGGCTTGATTCTATTGCCTGAATTTGCTGTAAGAAGCAGGTTAGGAAGAGGATTTTTTAAATGTTAAGTACCTGTAACTATTTTTGTTTGAAAGCATTTGTATATGTAATTATAAAGGGGAATAGTAGTTTGTGAGTGCCTATGCATGTGTGTATAACACATGAACATTTTGGGCTGAAGGGAGAAAGTTTGAGGGGAAAAATGTGAGACTGACCTTTTAAAGAATTAAATCTCTCCTCAGTAAATGAATGCTTTGAATTTTGAACTTTTCATCTTCACTCTGAATAATTGGACCTAACTTTGGGATTTAATTGTATTATGTGTACAGATATTTGTAATTCCTATAATTATGTAAGTTTCGTTATGTTCATTTAAAATGAATGTTGAGATGGTTTTCTTGTTTGCTATTTATCATGTAATTTTCATTGGCACTTATGCAACAATTATGATGATATAATATACTTTATTGATTAGTCAATTGACCATATCAGACATGAGCATCAGTCACAGTAAAATACAATATTGTGATAATTTATTCCGTTGACAGTTGCA